AGCTCAAGGCCACAAAGGCCGAGAACGAGATGCTCGCTGACCGCAACCGCGCCCTTGAGTTCCAGCTCAAGTCCTACGAACAGATGTTCCGCTCTCCCAAGGCCGAGAGCATCAGCCCCGGCCCTGTCCTCGAGTTCCCCGAGCACAAGCGCCAGAAGAAAAACGCTGGTCTGCCTGGTCTGCGGGTCTTCTGTGATGAGATCGCCGCTAACATGGAGCCTTCATCTGCTGGTCCCTTCCACGACTCCCTGCCCAGCTCGACCTCACAGTCCTTCGGTAGCTCCTACCTTAGTGCTACACCCCCAATGACTGGCCCTTCTTCTCCTGCTTTCCCTCCATCTCATTCTTCCTCTTTCACATTCCCGAGCGTGGCTCGTCGCCAGTCTCTGCTTCCTTCCCCATGAACAGCCCCCGCCGAGATTGATGATCTGATGATTCTATGACCTACACCCCAGATCTTGGCTTTCTCTCTGTGCCATTTCCTCCAGCCTTCGTCCCTTGCAGTCTGTCGTCTTCCTGCTCTATGTGCTTTTAGCGTCTGCATTGTGTAACATATTTTGACACTGGGGCGGACAAGAGGGCTCCTTTGGATATTTTCCCTTTGTTTCTACATTTCGGTGGATTATTGTGCGACTCTTTTTCTTCTCTTCTTGGACAAAATGTGTGTTTTCCTTTCCTTCCTTTCTTTCCCTCTTTCTTTCTTATTTTCTTATTTTCTTTGCCCTTTGGCGTTGAGTGTGGATATATACGACCCGGTGTAAATACCTCGAGATTTCTTGTTTCTTATTTTATTATTTCTTTTGTCACTATTTATCTTATGTCTATGGCTATGACTCAATGGATCATCTTTGATGATAATATCAAGCTTCTCTTTGCAGGATCTATGTAATTGTAATCGTAAATCTCCAGACGAGAACGAGTATATCGATTTTATTTGATCCCATGGTGTTCCATAACTTCTCCGTCCCTTTACCTTCCGGTAACATGGTGAGTGTGGGCTGATCCGATGTAGATGGTGTGAACTAATTAGCAAGCGATGGTTAAAGCTTGTGCAACTCCTATTCGTTGGAAATCAATAATTTGACAGAGTTCATTGATCGTGATATTCTTCTTCTCTTCATTATATCGGGCCCTATTAATGAAATTTCATTGTACTTCAGCATTAGCTAAGTATCATTTCTCATGCTCAACCAAGACGATGGAGGTTTAACTATATAAGAAGAATGTATAAGAGATTTTGGCGATGTTTGTTGTATATTTACGTTTTTCCATCAGAATATCCTCAATATATATTGTACAAATATTTTTCCAAGTCTCTGCCAGATAATTGAATGAGTATATAGGAAATGACTGATAGAATAGTTAGAGACATGGTGGTAAGTGTCTTCCCCCTTTTCTAGTATATATATCGATATTCTGGAAAACGAGGATAGTTTGCGCCTCAAACAGATATAGAGTAGAACCGATTTGAAGCCACACTGCAGGTAACTTATTACATATGCCTATACGGAGTAGTCGAGAATGTCTGGACGAATCAGCGCTTTGATGAAGGACGATCAGCCGGTGGAGACGGCCGAGTCTTAGCCTGGTGTTAAGCGGACAAGTGTCCCCACGTTCATTTTGTTAGTAATTTTTTGTATTGCAAGCAGGCAGTAGAATAAACTTCAGTTGTGAGAGAAGTATGAGTGATTAGAGATCATACAGTAAAGGTCAAGATGTAGGAGATCCTAGTTCGGGTCGAAACTATGTTTCACTTTATCCTCAAATGCAGACTCCACTGTGTTTTGTGATCGTTCGGGCTCGAGTTAACATGTACTACTCACTTAGAGGATAATTAGAGCATATGAGATTTGGAATGTGGGTATATCAGCCGAAGAAAGAGTGTTAATGTCGTGTGAAGTACTTTATACATGTCTATGTACTCCGGTGGACGTGTCAAGGTGTGTACACGCAATCCCTGCAGAAATAACATACAGGGGTAACGATATGCGTATTCCTGTCCCTGCGTGGACATAAAACCTTCAAATTAGAGCAAGTCACAGTTCTGTATACTTATACAATGTCATGGCACCCTAAGTCTAGATATCCGTGGAGGTTCTAGTCGATCATGGGCTATAAATAAAGATAAAAAAGGGTCTGCTGTCAGATCTCTAAGACCACACCCTGGCCGACGAAGTTACCACGAAGCATGGATAAGTTAGTAGAGTAGATCAGATAGAATCTCCTAAATATCAATAATTAACAACTACACGAACATAAAAACGAGGGTTGTCGTGTGTTGTCTTACTGCTGATTTTAGCCGTTCCGCTTGGCACTCGCATTTCCCCCAGCGATCCCGTCTCTCCTCTTTTTCCTCCCTATCAACCTCTCATCTCGCCTCCCAACTTCTCCTATTCGCCACATTCGTTCGGTCGGGGGGTTTTCGACGAGACATCGAGACCCCGGATCGCCCTGTTCTCCTGAATTCTTCAAGCGTCCCGAAATGTTGTTACCCAAGGGTGGTGTTAATTGGAAGTCGGCGAAGGCCAGGTTGCCGCCATGGAGGGCAATCGTCGTCTTATTAACGCGGACTCGCTTTTTGGTCTCGATAGCCTTGACTGGATTGCTGATCCTCATGTGGCGCGGCGTGAGCAGGTCTGCGTCGGAGATGCAAAAGTGAGAAAACCCCAGAACGCATCCAGAACACACCCAGAACACATCCAGAACGCACCCAGAACGTACACAGAATCGTATATTGACTCGAGTGTCCACAGTTTCTACTGCTATGGCTCATCAAAGTCACCCATGGAGATGTCCCTCAACGAGATGGTTGAGTGGAATGCACACGCCCAGACCCCCGTCATCTTCAACCGCCACGAACCCTACGAAGTCAACAACACCTCCATCGCCGAAGTCGACCTGAACCCCATCAAGTCGACCACCCAAGCAGCGCTCAACCATGAGCGTGTTCTCATTCTGACTCCTCTCCGCGACGCCGCTCCTTACCTGGCCAAGTACTTCGACCTCCTGTACAAGCTGACCTACCCCCACGAATTGATCGACCTGGCTTTCCTTGTCGGTGACTGCAAAGACGACACTCTGGCCAACCTCGCCTCCGAGCTCGATCGCATCCAGAATCACGCCGATGAGAAGATTCGATTCCGCAGTGCTACTGTGATCAAGAAGGATTTCGGTGCCGATGTTGAGATGAGTGTAGCTGAGCGTCATTCATTTGCTGCTCAGGGACCGCGACGCAAGGCCATTGGCCGTGCCCGCAACTACCTCCTCTACTCGGCTCTCAAGCCCGATCACTCCTGGGTGTACTGGCGCGACGTGGATATTACGGACTGCCCTGAGCGCATTCTGGAGGACTTCATGGCCCACGACAAGGACATTCTTGTACCGAGTACGTGATGACATTGAGATTCGGGCTGGGCAATTACTGACAAGATGTTTAGACATTTGGTTCCACCGCTATAGAGATGGCCGTGATATCGAGGGTCGCTGTATGTTATATCCACATTGTTGTGTATCCGGTACAGCCTACTGACCATTTGCTTTTATTAGTCGACTACAACTCCTGGATCGAATCTGACCGCGGTCGCCGCCTGCGTGCGACTCTGCCTACCGACACTATTCTGGCCGAAGGCTACAAGGAGTACGACACCGGTCGTACCTACCTGGTCAGCATGGGTGACTGGCGCAAGAACAAGGACGAGGAGGTGGAGCTTGATGGAATTGGCGGTGTCAACATCCTCGTTAAGGCCGATGTCCATCGCTCAGGTATCAACTTCCCCGCGTACGCATTCGAGAACCAAGCCGAGACCGAAGGCTTCGCCCGCATGGCCAAGCGCGCCGGCTACCAGGTAGTCGGACTGCCCAACTATGTGGTCTGGCACATTGACACCGACGAAAAGCCCGGCAATCTCGGAGAGCGCAAAGCGTTTTAGAGCCGTCCACATTCCAGCCGGAAATCTCGCCGCTTGAGATTCAAGTTGATCTTTGAATCCGTCCCGTCCCCGAACATCCATTAGCTTCCATTCCCGCCTTGCGCCTCACCCTAATAATCGGGACTCGCTTCGGCTTCACTTCCTTTCCCTTGTGACACATTTTCTTTTCTTTTTCTCTTCTTGGACGGATGTATCGCGACGGAAGCCTAATGATTTCCCTAATCCTGTATCTTGCCGCGTTCTAGGGAGTGTGTGTATTTGTTACCTTGGCGCTACGGGGGAAAATGCTGTTTGGCGGGTTGCAGGTCTATAGAGTTCGCCGGTTCTCATGGCCTCTTGATATAACGAATCGTGCACTTGGGACCACATGCCCCTTCCTATACAGTTTAGACGGGGTGGTGACCTCCGGGCATGTTCACTGTTTACTATTCACTGTTCACTCGAGTTTGATATTCCATCTCGATCTTCTGTTCTTGCAAACCAACTCTAGGGTCCGGGAACCGGGCCGTTGCTGTCATGTCATGTCTGTTTCTCTTTGCCAAGTTTATTCTTTCGGTCTGCTACGCAGATTTCCACCAAATTGTCGTCTCCCTTCATTCTTCCATTTTGTCACGTCCGAGCTGGCGTCCTTGGTTTTTCTTTTCTTTTGGTGATAGGTGGATGGCACTAGTCCAAACATTGCAGCTTGGATCTTGCTCTACATCGCACTGGGGACACAGTGATGTGCCTGGCTTTCTTGCAGATGAAGCAAAGCAGATATTCAGCGCACTTTGGTGGCTCTCTTCGTTCTTGTATATAATAATTGGTACGATTCTGATCATCCTACAAAAAGCCCCTAAGCAAACATGCCATATAGATTATATTAGTTGATTCGAGCCCCAATGCCACTGTAGATCTAATACCAAGAAATGAGGGCATACAGTTTATATCTCCATAGTCCTCGGCCGAACATCCACAAACAAACCCCAAACCCCAATCTCCGCATTCCAAACCCTCACCAAAATCCCCAGACCTCCCGATCCCCTCTAATAAGCCCCCATAACACCCCAAAAATACCAGAAACACACCTCAATGCCAGCTCGTATCCCCCAAGCGCTCTCACGCGTAGTCCCCGCTTTCCCCCACGCTCGGCAAACCCTCCGCGTCCCACCACAACCATTCACCTTCATCTCACCTCCCTCAACACCCGCAAGACTGTCCGAACATTTACTTCGCCAAAAGTTACCCTCTCCAACCTTCCGATCCGTTTTCCAAGTTCGCAATATGTCTTCTGCGCCTGCTAAGAGGGAGTTCCTTTGCATTCTGCCTGATAAGCCAGGTGCACAGGCTAAGCGTCTTGAAGTCCGGCCGTGAGTCTTTGCTGTCCCGGTTGTGAATTTGATTGGGGTATAGAAATGCAGAGATATGCACAGAGAATGACAGCAGCGAATTCTGGGCTAGGAGCCTTGCTGTGCATGACTGGACTTGGCTGGATTGTGTGTTGTTGCACCGGACCTTGGCTGATTGTCATATCTTATCAGGTTGCACCTCGAAGGCGTCAAGCCGCACGTCGCATCTGGAACTATTGTTGCAGGTGGTATGTTGAACAATCAACACAGTTAAAACCACAAGCATTAATATTAATATGGTATAGGCGCTATGCTCAACGCCCACCCCGCTGACGGCGAAATCCCCTCGTTCAAGGGAAGCATGATGATGGCTGTTGCAGAGAGCGAGGCTCAGGTTCTTGAGCTGCTCAACAGTGATATTTATGTCAAGAGTGGCGTGTGGGATATGGAGAAGGCGCAGATCATTCCGGTATGTTGATGGACTTTGGGAGTGGACGCTTTCTTTTCTTAGAGTGTGGTTATGCTAATTGTGTTGTTCTGGTTTTAGTTCAAGTCTGCTGTTCGTGAGGCTCTGTGACATATAGGGTTCTATTGCTAGCATTCAAGTTGCATTATGTTTAAGAGCTTATTGGTTAATTATAACCTTTTGCATTGTCCAATGGTGTGATATTGTGTTTTCTTAAGGATTGTATATGGGTTAGAGTAGAGTTTGTCTGGCGAAGCAGGATAGAGACTTAGCCATAGAGTACTGCAACATGGCCGCGCGTACGTTATAGCGGGTGTTGTCTCTGTCAACAGCCCCCAGGGTCGATGGTGAATGTCAATTCTCCAGTCTCTCTCGAGCTGTCTGAGGAGCTGCCTAAAGTGGTGCTGTCGTAATCCACGATTTGAACCATCTGCGGACACTTCGGAAAATATGTTTGTCGCTTCTCCCAAGTTATGGAAAATGATTGAACGATTTATGCTGAACTGGGAAGATACTATGCCTTGATCAGTTCCCTAAATATCAGGATCTCAGCGAAATATGCCCAATGGAGATGCTCTACGAAGCATAAGTTTTAGCATTCTACTCCATCTTACAATAGTATAACAGAAACAAGGAATGTCGTGATAATCCTGGAATTGGGTTTGGTAGTAAACCAACGGTTTATTTCAATGAGTTTACCTTATTCGGAAACAAGAAGTAGAGAGATATTCTGTAGGGGAGAAAAAGTGTGCGGTCCCACTTATTAACTTTGTAAAATGCTCTTTTCATTTTGATTTTCATTTTTGAGTGCAAGTTAATGATGGGGGATTGGGGGGCGGAGGAGGGATAAGGGTCCTTGATGCCCGGAACTAGCCTTCGGTGAACCTCGAAAGAGATACAAACCTGCTACCCCGCATATTGAACAATGGACTAGATGGTGTGTAGCTTAGATTATCCTCAGATTGAGGTGTTCAAAGACAATGCTCACGGGGTCTGAACAAAGCCCGCAGTGGGTAACTAGGCGGGTTATATATCTAAGTGCAGCGTAGTTCAAAGCAACCCCGCTGAGGGGAGGTTAGAAGCCCCGCGGAAATCCCGTAGAAATGTTGAGTTATCTTGCCAGATCTAGCATGGATACCCCTGTCGAATTCACCGAGACCGAAGGCCGAGTAATGACTCCGATATCTCCGTAGCCGGCGAGGCGTCAATGTATACCGAAATGTATAGTATCTCTGCTATGCTGCGTGGACATAAACGTGTAGTCAGAATAATCTGACTAGAATTTGCGACCAGTGTGATCGCCAGGCTTCACTTGCCCATCACTAAAGCCGTCTCCACCGTTTGATATCATCGACCGACGATTGGCTCACGGAGAGGCGGGAAACACAACGTTGGCCGGATGAGTCCACCGCGGACAACTTGAGTGGTGCAGAGAACTCGCCACCCCTGAGAACTGATATCACGCATAAGCTCTCTCACTGGCACAGACCAGCAAACCAGTAGAATATGTAATGCTACACTCATATCCTCATATCAGATGGAAAAGAGAAGAAAAGAGGGAACGTCATCTTTGTCATCTCCGACCACCGGCGAATCCGGCCAGACAAGCTACCCCATTAGGCTTAGCGTGCTTATATAACGCCCGATCAGATTATTTATGAATTCATCACTCCCTATCAGATCCATCTTTTTGCCTCTGAAACTACTTCACCTCTACATACACCACCCATCAATAACATCAATACAAATCACAATGTTCAAGCGCCTCGTCACTATTGCCCCTCGCGTCGGCTCTGTCGCAACTCGCAGCGCCTTCGCTCCTCTCTCCGGCCTCCAGTCCGCCCAACCCATCAACCGTGCTACTCCCGCCCCAGCTGTGCAGCGCCGAGGATACCACGAGAAGGTCTTGGATCACTACAACAACCCTCGCAATGTTGGCTCCATGCAGAAGGGCGACCAGGACGTGGGCACCGGTCTCGTCGGCGCGCCCGCCTGTGGCGATGTCATGAAGTTGCAGATCCGTGTGAACAAGGACTCCGGCCGTATCGACGACGTCGTCTTCAAGACTTTCGGCTGTGGTAGTGCTATCGCCTCGTCCAGTTATCTGACTGAGTTGGTTCGCGGTATGACCCTTGATGAGGCTGGCAAGATTAAGAACACCGATGTGGCGAAGGAGCTGTGCCTTCCTCCCGTCAAGCGTATGTCTCCCCCATCCCCTTCCCAATGATTATGTGCATAGTTCTAACTTGCTTTTTCAGTTCACTGCTCTATGCTCGCTGAAGATGCCATCAAGTCCGCCATTGCCAACTACTACACCAAGAACCCCAACACCCGCGTCACAGATCTCTCCGGGACAGGCGGCTCCATTCCCGACGTCAAGGTCGAGATCGAGCAGACTGGTGGCAGCCCCGCGGCCGCCATCTAAGTTGCTTTTTCCTTTATATTTTGCGTGAGCGTGCCGGATACAGTATCTGCGTGAGGCAACACTCGTTTCTCTGAAGTCTGTGACTCATCCTGAGGTTGCTTCATTACACAATCATTTGATCAAGGATGTGTATCGGCTGCTGGGTCGGAAGATTCGACAATAATGTGTTTTTGTTTTTGGCTGGGGTTCGTTGATACCGGTGTCACTGAAAATGTGTGCCCGGATCACGATGGACGAGATGAGAACGAACAATTCCCCATTTGTTTGATGTACATATTTCCTCTTTCCTTTTTCTTTTCTCGCGCTTTCGAGATTTTTTTTTTTTTTTTCTGATGGCGCCTCGGCGGGTACATGGGATCCTTGATCGGTACTCTCAACTCCACTTTCTGAAAAGCAGCGCCTTGATAGTTTCCTAATGAAACGATAAAACCAGAGATATTGCTCGTCAATATAACGTAGAGATGAATGTAGATGAATGTAGATGACAAGGAATTGTCTATGATCTAAATTTCTATCTGCACTCTAGCTATCTGTACAGGCTGCACCGGGTCTTTTTGTGGAAACAGCAAACATTCATCCCTTGAACATTCTGTTCAAGGAATGAGTTAACCATGTGTGAAAACAAAAAATGCATAACTCCACCGCTGATACACAGACAGATCAATCAAGATAATCCATGCTCATGAGAATAACCCAACAAAGAAACCAGGGATATATATAAAACAGAATAAACAATAGCAGAGCTAGCCAAAGCAACTGCAAAGAAGATATAAACAGAGTGCCTAAGCACTCCGAAGCCCAAATCGAGACTTAAAAGACAACAAAGTCTCATAGACGGACAACTTGATATCAACGCGAAGGTATCCCGCCCAAGCGCACAGATACCGGAAGAAGTTCCGGAAAACACCACCAGACTCCTGAATAGACTCCATCTGTTCCTCGAAAACGGTGCGCGTAGCGTAGTGAGCGAGAATCAGGAACGAGCGCATTGGACCCTGGCGCGTATGCAGGTTCTCGTCGAGACTGCGGGTCAAGTCATTGGTCTTCAAGATGAGCAGGATAATGCGCGGGACCTGACCGAGTAGGATAACCAGTTGCTGAAGCATGCCTTCGCCCAATGCACCGGAGATTTCCTTCTTCTCTTCGGCCGTGCGTGAAGAAACGACACTTTTCTTTGTGAGCACGCTGTAGTCGCGGCCGGTGATGGCACTGGCGAATAAGGGAAATTGGTCGTCTGTCACGCCGGCGACTTTCTGGGCGTATTCGCGCATGCGGGGGACGTCGGCGTCGATGACGGCTAGCCATAGCTTGGCGTAGTTGCGGCGTAAGTCGCGGTCAATATCGCGGTATAATCCATGGTCGTAAAGGATGATGTCGAAGTTGTGATGACTGCGGGTAGGGTTCGGGCGGATGGCGATGTTGCCGCCGTGCGGATCGCAGTGGAGCGGGGCGTTGTTGCCGAAGATCATTTCGTTGAAGATGTGTGCTAAGGCAGCGGAGACTTCGTCACGGTCGATGTTGTTGGCGTCTAGGTATTCGAGGTCATCTGGGCGACGACCGCCGATGAATTCCATGACGAGAATGCGCTTTTGAGACCAGATCACTGTGGTTTTGTTAGCTGGTTTACCTCTACTACGCTTGCAGAGTATACGTACCTTCGGGAATAACCAACGGAGCATCAGAGTGCTCCTTGAAATACTCGCTAGCACGTGTGGCATTCTGAGCCTCCATGCGGAAGTCCAGCTCCTGCGGCAAAGAAAAGTCCATCTCCTTGGACAACCATTCCAGATCATATTCGGGGAAGAAACGCTTGAGCATGGAGAAAGTGAAACGCGTCAAGGCTAGATCCAAGGGCACCCATTCGTCAAGCGCGGGGTGTTGGACCTTGACAGCGACTTTTTGTCCAGTTTCCTTCAGCGTGGCAATGTGCACCTGTGCCAGTGATGCAGCACCGGTAGGGGTAGGTTCGAAAGAGGCAAACAATTCGTCCATGGATTGGCCGGTATCAGCGCGGAACAACTCGCTAATTGACTCAATTGACGAGACGGGGCATCGGTCCTGGAGCGGGATGAAGGTCGAAGTCCATTCCAGCGGAAGTAAGTAGCCCATGCTGCTGAGATGCTGGCCCAGCTTGATGAAGATCGATCCATTCTTCTCGAGAACTCGGAGGGTACGCTCGGCGCATCGTTTGTGGCATGCGCGAATCAGTTCATCGTGTTCGGCGGGGGACGAGGCTTCTTGTTTCAAGGTTACGCGGTAACTGAAGATGGGATCAGATTAGCGACGCGGTTCAGATTGAGTAGAAGACGTCAGTCAGAAGATCCTCCACTTACTCATTAATACAGACGGCCAATGTGCCAGCAACACGCCCACTTCTCTTGGCCGCTTCATACGCATGCTTCGCATTGGGGGACAATGTCACTGCCCCGACACCAAGCAAACCTACAATAGCCAAGACGACAATTTTCCGCCGAAGTCCACCCTTCTTTCCACTCTCCCTTGTACCCGCTTCACCTTGTACCTGCGACAAGAGAGGCGAGGTCCGCGTAGAGAAGCAACGACCAGAAGAAGTAGAAATCGAACTCGAGGGGTATCGCGTACAGTCCCATGACGGTGTACCGGCTGCACTAACAAAGGGCAATGATCGAAGCGGCGCGGTTGTGGTCAAACGAGAGGAAGAGCCCAA